ACTCCAAGTTTATTATGATAAGGGTTTTTATATCAATAAATATCCACTTCATTGTGGTATTCTTTTGTTTATGTAGTACAAATTGGAGAATAAAGCGGGTAGCTTTTCACATACATATTACCCCGCTACAAGATGTAATAATAGAAGATATTAAATCTTTCCTTTATTTATAGTCTCAATATAATCAACCGCTTTCGCGTATACTTTGGAAACTGAATAAGTTTCTTTGAGACTTACTACAACACAATACCTTATTGGTAATTAATTGTGTTTCTCCAAAATAGTATAATTGGCTCTTGTAGAGTTCTCAATTAATTTTGTAGTACCACATATTCATCAACACCCAATATCTCTTTTAATGAGAAAGTTATACCATTATGGTTGTGGTCAAAATTATATGCAAGATCTGTTTCTTGCATTACCGTTGACTTTTAATAATCACAATGCCAAAATATTTTGGCGTACAATAGGTACGTGACCAATGACCATGCATGCCATAATAATGATATTATTTTCTTATATCATCTCAAACCTCCTTCTAGAGGTGAGTGTGGTATATACCACTAGCACGCTCATATTCTTCCAAAAATGAATATGTATTCTTAAATTAGATGTTGTCACATTCACATCATGAATAGACCATAATCATCTATATGTGCTTTATAAAATCTCATGTCAAATCGATGACAAGTATTTTCACAAGTGGGGGATTATTTTGAGAATCCTTATTATTCTCATTATCACAATAATGACGATTATAATTTCGTCTATTGCCACGTCCACATCCATTGATACATTCATAGTGATAATTTTGTCTTCTTTCAGACTTATCACATACTGCTATCACATTCTCTTAAGGGAATGAGAATGGAGCAAATTCAATGGGACGGGTTTCCACTTTTTGTGCCCATAATCATACATGAATTTGATCATGGCAAGACATAGAAACTTTTACCACTTCAGGTGGTTATAATTTCTTACAAACTCCATTAGAGTTCTAATCAAACTTTGTTGTCTTTGCTTGTATTTAAAATCAAAGTATAGAATAAAAGAGAAAAATACGGTAAAACACTTACCTTAAATCCAGAATTTAATCATGAAGGAAGTTCATGGAACAATTGACAATCATTATGCTCAAACCCAAAGTTTCTACTCAATTGGTTAGAGTCTCGTGCTGATAACGTGTTATGAAACAATAAAAGAAGAAGAATAGTATTGCAGAGAAAAGTAGGGAGAGAGAATTCTTATTGATTTGGGATGAATTACAATGGAATAGAAACCCTCTATTTATAGGGAAAGGGTGACTTAGCCACCAAGTAATAAACCCTAAAATCTCCCTAAATATAGACATTCACCATAAATAAAATTCTTTTTGTAACACAAATAAACTTTTGAGTAGAGTTGGTTTCATTGGGGACCATTTTAGTACATGGAGCATGCTCCCAAACTATTATTGGAACCTTTCCGCTCCACAAAATAATTTCCACTTTAATGCCACCTATTAGGGATACTCCCTCCAACAATTGAAATAAAAAATCCAAAATTAGTAATATGAAGAATTTAAAAATATTCTAATTTGGAAGGAAGGCATCTGAAGTGAGCAAATACAAAAATTCACCTTTTGTTTACGGCAATGAATATGGATGCATTCACTTTTTTCAATTCAAACTATACATATAAATTAATTTTTTTTTTCCAAAAAATATATAGTCATACTAAATTTAAACCTTGAACGGAGCAAAATTGATACAAAGACATCAAATGATTGACTCCAACTAATTTAAGAATAGAGTTCAGTGAATTGGTATATACACATATACTAGGTTTGAATCCGTCATATTCATAACAAAATAATGCATGCAATGAGGCTTCTAAATAAACTTAAAATCCTAAATTCACCAATCAAGAGCTATTCTCTTTTTCAAAGGGCAATTTTTAGGGATTTTTTCGGTATTCGCCTCACTGGTCCAATATCCAAATTAGCGTAATGTAAGGCTCATTATAGGGGAAGCGCTCATTTTTCTACGTCGTGAGGGCTTGAGCTCAAGATTTTAGTTAAAAATGAAAGGTCTCATCCATCTTAGCACACTCTTTGTCGGTATGGCCATCAAATCAGGTAAATACTTATCAGCACTGGTTGTTTGCATCAAACCAAGTAATTTAACTGCAGCAGTGAAAATTAGAGTATATATTATTTGTAGCCAAAAAAAAAAAATTAAAGTAGAAATACATTTCACTTAAACATAACTAAGTAATAAATATATTTTATTTATTGATTTGATATAAATATCGGACAAGTTTTTATCATTAATCTGTCCCATTTGGACCATTGGTGTTCCTTAAATAAGCAGAAACAGCTATACCATGCTATTTTCCCTCGTTTCCACATGCTCCCTTTCTTAAAAAAAAAAAAATTCTTCCATTTTCTTTTAGGACCAGACTATTAGAAACTCTTCTTCTTGAAGCAAACCCACAGTATACCCAAGTATACTCATCATATTGAGGACCCAACTACCACAGCTACCAACTTAACTAACCTCCAATGTCCAAAGTACATATCATAATTTTGGCATCGCAAAGGAATAGTATTCAACCACATAATATGGATTAAAATAGAGATGTCAAATGGGCGATTTGAGCCGATTTTGGACGGGCGATGTGCACAGATAGCCACTAACAGCTTATGTCTTTATTTTAAAGCCAGCGTTTTAAATGTCTTTAGTCTTTAGCCACTGGTTTAATAAACTTTAACTGCTCGGACAAAAATACCCTTCTGCTCATGTCCTTAACTTCAGGACTTCAGGACTACATGTCCTTAACTTTTGAACTTGAAACTCTAAGTTCAGGACTTCAGGACTACATGTCCTTAACTTTTGAACTTGAAACTCTAAGTTCAGGACTTCAAGGTTACATGTCCTTAAGTTTTGAACTTGGAACTCAAACTTCAAGACCAAGCGTCCTTAACTTTTGAACTTGTAAGTCAAAGTTAAGGACCTATTGTCCTTAACTTTTGAACTTGTAACCGTAAGTTAAGTACTGCTTGTCCTTAACTTTTGAACGTGTAACTGTAAGTTAAGGACTATCTGTCCTTAACTTTTGAACTTTAAACTCAAAGTTAAGGACTGCATGTCCTTAAGTTTTGAACTTGAAACAATAACTTAAGGACTGCACGTCCTTAAGTTTTGAACTTGAAACTATAAGTTAAGGACTGCCTGTCCTTAACTTTTGAAACTGAAACTCAAAGTTAAGGACAGAAAGTCCTTAAGTTTTGAACTTGAAACAATAACTTAAATACTGACTATCCTTAAGTTTTGAACTTGAAATTATAAGTTAAGGATTGTTTGTCCTTATCTTTTGAACCTGCATGTCAAATTTAAGGAATGCATGTCCTTAACTTTTAAACCTGCATGTCAAACTTAAAGACTCATGTCCTTAACTTTTAATCTTTGAACTCAAAAGAAACAAAAACAAGGTAAGAAGAAAGAAAGTACTGTACGTAATTGAGACATCTGCTCAAAAATTCAGAACTTGAAAATTTTGTTGATGCAAAAGGAACTACGGTACGTATTGGTAAAAGGAATAGTGAAGCAAAATCAGAAGGATCTCATGATGGACCTGGTTATGTCCTAGTAATTGGGGTCACTAATAGACCTGATGGTATTGACCAAGCATGGAGGAGGCCGACCGTGAAATCGCCTTGGGTATTCCAGATGAAAATGCAACGCGAAAGAGAGGAAGAAAGGGTAAAATTGTCTTTTTTCTATTAGTAGTGGCTATTTTTGCTGAGCATTATAATTAGTGGATAAAAATTAAAGACACCCTTAATTAGTGGCGGATCATTGGCGGGTCATACTTCTCTGGGCTAATTTTGACACCTCTAAATTAAAAGCACACAAGAACCCTTAATAATATGACCCCCAAAGTCCCATGGAGCTGTCATATGCATGTATTAACTTTCTTGATCGCCTCATTCTCAATTCGGACAATTAAGATTTAAATTAACGTCCTCTCAGTCATTCCTCCTAAATTGCACATTCAACAAAATTACACGTGATATTTGTATGATCATAGAGTTTTATCCTATGGTAATTAATTTGAATAGAATGTAGATTCGGAATATATATATAGATAGTGTAAAAGTTTTTAAGCTATCATGTCATTTAAAAGCTAATTATAACTAACCATCCTAATAAGTAAAATTAGTAGTCTAAATAGTAAGACAAGTAACCTTCTATAGTAGGTTAAATTGTGTTAATAACATAAATTTTTATTACTTTTTTTAACTATACTGTCAGTAAAAACATAAAAGGTAAAACCAACTACTTGTTTATGTTCTTTATTCACAAGAGTGGGAACGTGATAAATCCAATTTGGTGAGTTGGATGTAAACCCCCACCAGATGCATAGGAAAACCAACCTAGCTACTGTAGAGAGGTTTAATTGTAGGTTTTCCAATAGCAGATCTCTTAAACACATGTAAAAATTTCTCCCAAGTCACATACAATCAAGCACGCTGCCTCCTATAAAACCAAACTGATTTTAGGTGCCCAGCTTTCGCACCTCGTATAATTCATCGGATATTTGCTATCTCCCACATCACAGAAGTCGAATAATTCTCTGTTCACCAAGGCTCAAGCAGATAGTCAAAAATCACCCACTAATTATTATTTTTTTATCTTTGCAGCGTCTTAAACCATGATCTCCAAGTGAAATTTTCAACGTAGGCACAACCTAAGTACCTGGAGGCTAGCAATAGGACAATTAAAGATGCCTAAACTAAGAGTTAATACCATATGTAAAGATGGATATATGAAAGAAAAATATGTTTTTTTTTCCTATTTTTAACATATATCTTTGAAAAACTGTACGTGCGTGTCTACGTCATGAGCTCATACCATCGATGTGGACCGGACATTCTATTTTCATTTGCTTAGAATTTTCAATGATACTATCAACGATTAAAACAGTTATTCAGTTTTTGCTGAAAATCAACGGTAGAATCCTTTGCAAACACTCTTTCAAGATTTTGAACAAAACACCAAAAAATGACAAGAATATAAGGTCTGCTTAACCAACTACGGATACAGGTAAGTCATATACTACTACGTAGCAAAATAATAGGTGACCACCAAAGTATATAAAGAACTCTGGCATAAAGGTTGTCTATTCTGCAAAGAAGATGATAATTAACCTAAACACGGAATAAAGGCATATCATCTACTAATATCTTGCTTAGGGAGAGAATTGAGGAATAACACGGAATACAGCTCAAACTACTGTCAGAAGTTTTAGGCTGCACTGATGGGAACAATTACTAGAGCTCCATGTGATGGCAGTACCTTTATTGGAAACTAATATCGATACTGAGGTTGACGAGGGTACTCGTAAAGAGAGCTTGCTGCAGATGAAGGGTACTCCGGAAGCACACTTCTAGAACTGTACTCGGTAGATAGACCACCCTGACGGTACACTGATCGCAAACCCACAGGAGGGGGGTTATACTCGGGCTCTGAGCGTGCCGAGTTCACAGGATCGCGGTATGATACACGCTCACGGTATGACGCGTATGGATCATTGATCCCAATATCATCCCGGAGTCTAGTTTCCAAACTCAGTGGCTGATGATATTCACGACGCTCTGGGAATCCATCCTGTCTGTAATAATCACGTGGCTCTACTACTGCCTGTCTTCTGTAAACATCAGGATTGCCTAGCACTGTGTCACGTGGCTCTACTACGGCCTGTCTTCTGTAAACATCAGGATTGCCTAGCACTGTGTCCCGCCTATAAGCATCAGGGAGTTCCACCAATCGGCTCTGCCTATAAGTATCATCATGCTGTATCACTGTGTCCCGTCTATAAGGATCTGTTCTCAAAGTCCTACTATATGCATAAGATTGAACGGGAGCAGGTGGTGGTAAAGGTTGAAGCGGGGCTAATGGCACCAATGGAGATGTAACTAAATCCCTTTCATGAAAATGAGGACGTTCATGGTATACACGCTCTTCAACCCGCTCACGGTACCCACGCTCTTCAACCCGCTCACCACGGTACCCACGCTCTTCAACCCGCTCAGGTCGTCGAGCACGTTCAGCCCGTCTTCTGCCATCCCGACCCCGCCTCTTAACTCTGTCTCGCTTGGATTTCGCAGGGGTCTCAAATCCAATCCGTGTGTCTTTGGACCTGGAACTCGCAGCAGTGAAAAGCTTACACAGGTCCTTCACCTAGCAAATAGCAACAAATATGCAAACAAATTGTAGGTGCCGAGACTCGCAAGAAAACTGAAGACTGACAACACTTACAAATAGAGCTTAACCTGAGATATCCATTAAACACAAACAAGATGGATCGAGTACCTGTTCAGAGGACAATAGGCAATCAAACTTTGACCTTGTGAAATAGTTCTTCTTAATCGCTTGCCTGAACGTCTCCTCTGCTAGTGGTAAGCAATCCTCAAGAACAGAAAAGCGAACCTGAAATCAATTTCCAATAAAAATTAACACAAAATGTTCAAGTAAAAATTATCCCACTTATCACACTAAGAGAAGCACCAGTAGAATTCTAGTATGTATATTCACCGACGAATTCGTCGCACAAACCAAGACCCTAGGTTTCACACACAGTACAACAGACGCACATAATTCCTCCAAGGGAAGTAGGTTTCTACATTTACAAACTCATGTTGCACGGCCTCCTAAACCCCAGGGCCACCAGCCACAAACAGACCTCTGGCAGACAAGCACACAGGAATGTGATGGAACTCCTCACACATAAAGATAGGCACTCAAGGTAAAATATTGTTCAAGGAAAACTCTCATGGAGCAATCCTTGCCAGAACTGGCATAGGAAAGACTAGGAGTCACAGTAAGTATCCTATCGTTTGCCCATTAATGAAAGAATTATGCAGCAAGCTTTAACTCGATGAAAGCTAAAATAACTTCATAAGTCTCTTTTTTATGCACTCTGACCATGATGAGATTCAATATCTAAAATAATTGCTTTCTACCTATGTCTCTACCAAGCCAAACCCTCCTCACATTCATCTGATGAATTGCTCAACATCGATTTGAAGATAAGACAGAAGATTTGCCTTCTTTATTGAGGTGGGGATAAAGAAAATGGAAGATCTGCCTTGTGTTAATCACTATTAACTTATTTTGGTATGTATTAGGGTTCCCAAGAAAGAAAAACCATCTTCAGTGTAGAATTCGCCATAACATTGGCATATCAGTCTCATTTAAAATCTTCCAAGATACTCAGAAACACATAAAACCATATAATGGCGAGTAAATGTTCAATTCGGTACAATTTATAACTTTTGCAACCACTAAAGAGTTAAGACTATGTGATTTACAAGCACTAGACCTTAAGCTCAAAGACCTAAAATGTGCCTAGGTAATCAAGATCCTATGCACAAATTAGTCTTTTGGATCCCTAACAAGGAAAAGACAACAAAAACCTCAGTAATACCTCATTTGCATTTGGTTTACAAGGAAATAAAAAAACTTAATAAGGAATTGTAGACAATACCAACACATATCAAACATGAATTAATAGCAGGATCACCTATCCAAAAAAAAAAGCAAGATTTCTTATTTAGAAATTTCCATCAGAAAAATAGCAAGTTGTAACTTCCCCATAACCAAGACCCAGGAAATAAGACGCCCATACTATCCTTGTGGTAAAATATAGACAATCGGACGAAATCCTCTAATACCAATTCTGATGGAAACATTAAATTTGAAGCAACCAACCACTCATGGAAAACGTGAAGAGAAGTGATCTATATGTAACTTCGCAACATTTCTAAGCATACAAACAAGTGGTAGGTGTATGCATGCTAGAGCACCAGATTACTGATGTAGATACTTGACGATTATTACAAGGCATCGCACAACACTGATCCCATTGTCAGCCTTAAGAGCTATAGAGAGGTAACATTTTTTTTAAAATCAGTATCACAGTGCTGTCATTTTCTATGATTGGCAGAAGGAAACAGGAAAAAGGAATGGAGCAAAATCCTGACCTCACATAGACACAAATATATACAAGGGAAATCAAAACAATATTGTCAAACCAATCATGCCTCAAAGGTTTCTTCGCACCAAACATGCCATTACCTTGTGGATCAAATTAGGAAACAGATCCATCTAACTTAAGCAAAACAAAAGGCAGAATTTTTTTATATCTAGTGTTTGGAGCATGAGGCATAGTAGCCGTTGTTGTAGCAATGATTGGAGCATGAAATTAAGGCTACAATTGGAGAAGTAAATAATTTATGATAGGAATACCTTTGACATACATCAAATCATATACAACAAAAAATGCAAGAATTTTTACCTACATTTGGACCTATCTTCAGGGTTTAGGCGCCTCTCAAGCAAGCTTAAGACACCACTGCTTAATAAGGCTTTTGTACATGAAGATGGATAAAATTGACTTAAAATATTTAACGTCACTAATCAAGCCCCTCCGACAAGAACATGTGTTTGAAGTTAAAAATATTGTGCGTTATATTGGGAGTGACAAAGAGAAAAAGTTTTAATTCTAGTCCTGAATTGCCTTTTGTATTTCTATAATTGTACGTGAAGCTGCCTTTTTGTGTTTTGATACTTCACTAATAAACTTACAATCTGTATATATCAAACGAATAGATTATAAAATTAAAACCTAGAGATATATCTATCAAAGGAATAGAAGGATGGAACTCTATTTGGGGTCATCAGACTAAACCACAAGTACTTGTTAACTGCTTTGGTTGTTATATGTGCCAACACACAATTGAACATACAGAGCAATACCTGACTTGAAAATTAGATACTGCATCCCCCTGCTTTATCTTTTCTGCCTTTCTGTTATACGAACATGCGTGTACATACACATAAAGATGGATCACCCTGAATTTTAATTGCCTACTGGTTTTGTCTCCTAAGGTTAGGTACTACTAAAGTATAAATTATAGACACTAGAACCAAATTAACTCTTGCCCACTTATTCAAAGGAATAAAGGGTTTTTCCTTGATGAACTTATTTATTGTTTTCTAGGGTTTGTTTGCCTCAAACAAACGTATTATACTCCGAACAAGGAGAAAATGACGAGACTAAATCATTTTTCACCAGTAACCCTATTCTTTTTTTGAGAAAGGGTAACAAACCAGTAACCTTATTCTAATATGAGTAGTTTCATCACAACCATTTTCACCATTTAATACTCAAAACCATCACTAAAACAATTCTCACATGCTCAAGCGCTCACCGATTACCAGATATCAAGTACTTTTACACCCATTCAACGACAGAAATGACCATGACATTATACCACACATCCTAAATGGACAAATTAGACTTGATTCCCAAATGGAAAAACTACAGACTTTTAAACCGATCAAAAACAACTTCTCACCTATCCTTTCTTGGCTATGCCCATTATGACATACGCTTTACCTCTAAGGAACACTATTGACAAAACAATTTCAAATATAAGAGTAAAAGTTGTAATGCTTTCCGGACATTGTATTCTCCAATTTATTTTGGATAATACAAAATCTATAAAGAATTTTACCTGCTACCAACAATCTTACAGGAATATCCATCTTCTATTTATTTTTCTTTTCTTTGGATGGGGGGCTGACTTGTTTACCATTCATATCTCCAAATTAAATGAGGAACCTGGATGTTTCATTCAGCAGCCAATTCAATGGATTTAATTATTCTTAGGACATTTAAAAGCACTTCGAATGACGGAATGAATGTACTCCCAAACACAAAGTCAATCATTTAAACCATAATAAGAAAACTGAATAGCACCTAATAATGGAAATTCCTTACCCTCAAAGGACAAGAAAGTATTTTTTTTTTTCATTTTTTTAATGGGTAACTTCTTAATTTCTAAAGATCTTCTCTGATATTTTTTTCTTTTTTCCTGGTTGTCTACAGTCTACACACCTCAGTAGAGCGAAAAATATCAAGTTACAACTTACAAGAATTTACTAGTTGATTTATATAAATGATGGTCACCTGAAAGATTGTTCTCGAAATCAATCGCCTCCATAATCAGTGATCAGCACACATGTACGCCCAGAACTATACTTTGCAAGTGCGGTGGTCTTGGTCCTATATTATACAAGGCAAGTGGGTCGGTCCTAGACAGGCTAAAACTTTAGAATGGACAGCCTGGGCACTCCACAACCCCTAACCTTTATAGTGGGTGAATTAGGGGCCGGTCAGGCAGCGGGCTATTTTTTTTGGTCTTTCTTCTATTTTTTCTATTTCCTACTTTCTCTTTCGATTTTCTACTTTAGTCTTGCCTAATCTTTATGTTTTATGCTTTTTAAATAAGATTTCCTCCGCTTAATGGATAACCATTTGTTACCAATGGAGATTTTCTTATCATCTTAAATTCAGGTGATTGGATTTACACCAACGGAAACCATAAACTTCATACACAATAGAGGGATATGATAGAGTTTTTTTTTTTAATAATGAATGGAGTTCCTTCTTCCATCCTAACACATTCACCGGTACTGATCATTGATACTGTAAAAGTCGTTTTCTTGCTTTTGTGCCAGCTCATGATCTAAACGAGTCGCACATACACCCTAGTACATGTTCCTCGACGCTAAGGGCACCCCCGAAGAGCGGCGGATTTCGTGACATTTCTGATTAGCTGTCTTGTATTTCTAATAAGTTGTTTAATAGTTGTCATGTTGAATCGTATACATAATATGATGGGTTGTACGTATAGAATGTTGTTTTAAATATAGCTTATATTACTATCTTCTGTAGTGTGGTCTTAAAACGTGTCATTATGTCTAAGCATAATATAGAAAGCTTAAAATCAAAGCGTTTTCAAATACCAAAAATCTAAAAAAGGAGCAAATGAAAAAATAAAACAATGTATATGTAATGCAACAAAAATAAATAAACATTAGATAAAATTATATGGATTAAAAGATGTGTAACTATAATTAAGGAAAACTATGTCAATCAGGTTTTAATACCATTATAAATCTTTGCTCTAGATACAAAGGTGCAACTTAACTTTTCAACTAGTCTTCAATAGTAGTTATCAATAAACAAAAAGGTTTAAACTAGTAATCAAAGAAAAAGTAGTTTGACTCCCCAAATAGCAACAATATCATATGAAGTGAATCAAAGGAGTTGTATACAACCTTTTTAGCTAAAATTATTATTTATTAATATCGGCTAAAGAAAAAGCCAATACGAATAACATGCACGCCATAGCGTCATGGTGCCTCCACTAATACATACATCACTTAAGCAATGACATGACTTGAGCTTCCCAAATGCCAACGCTACAAGCCAAGTGTGCCCTAACCAAGCCCCTTTGCAACACAATATATATGACAAAACAATACCGATCACATTGAAAACCCATTTTAAATTCATAATTCAAATGAAAAGCGGCAACTTTTTTTTGAATAATCGTGGTGTCCGAACCAGCTTGCGCGTACATCAACTAATTCCATGAAGTATTGCTACATCCCACTAGCACAGGTACCAAATAACTCTATCCACTAAGGCTTGGACCGATGGGAAAAAATCACCTAATTTTTTCCCTTTGTTGGGATTTAAACCTAAGACCTTATGGTTCTCAATCCACTTCCTTGACCACTAGACCACACTTTTGGTTGCCAAATGAAAGGCCACAATTTTAAGCATATAATTTAGATCTCTTATACTAAGTTTCTAGTTCACATTCCTCGACACTAACACACTCCTTCATAGGTTACCCAGCAATTGATACATCTTTGCCAACTCTAACATTCTTTTATAATAGAGAAAATCTCAAGGGCTAATGGCGCACAATTCGAATGTCAACAGATAATCGGCCCACCCCTCTATTCTTCTCCACTTAAATACCAAGTTATGTCTGAACTCGGGTTCGAACCTATGATGTATGCCTAACCCACACATCAAAAGCTACGCTCTTACCACTAGACCAAAGTCCTAGGGTAGGTCTATTTATTGTTTAGTCCTACCGTTTTTACACGGGAGCTCCTTGACACCTACATTAAAGCGGCCCCTTACAAAAGTGAAGCGCCCAACCCTAGTCACGCCTAGATTCATGCTTAAAACAATGAGTTTTCATACTACGATAAAAGCCAAATAAAATTTCCCGATCTTTGGTTGACTTTAAAATATGGTACTTCAGTTCGGCCTTTTATTTTCTACAAATATAACCTAACAAAGCAAATAACAAATTAATACGTAATATCTATATCATATATGCACTCAATACCAATTTATGTAATGCATATTTATTTCTAATTTGTCTCAAAAAGTATGACGTATTTATATATGTAAAAATAGTTTTACTTTAAACTTCTCATTTTACTATTAGTGAGATAATTTATAACCACGAAAGTACCTAGAACTTGTTTTAGACCACGAGATTCAAAATTCTTTCTTAAACACTATGCCCAGTCAAAGATAACATAATTGGGACGAAGTGAGTAATAACTTTTTGAGAAAATATAAATATTATAATAGTTAAATATATATATATATATAACTACTTGCATTATATATGCTTATGTAAATCAATTAAATTCTATTATTACCTTATTTTAAAAGAATATGATTATTTGAATTTACACATATAATAAATTATTATAAAGTTATATTATTTTTTCGGCCCTTTCAAGCCCAAATTGATGGAAAAACTTGGACCAAACAAAAATTATTTCGGTTCTACTTTGTTTCTAGAAACCAAAAAATCAAAAAGCCAAACCAACATTTGATAAAATTGAACCGCTCCGACGAATGAACACCCTACAAACACCTTACTTAAAAGATCAAGCTTAAATGTGCTTAAACATGCATTTAACAAAACTTCATACTATCCTCCAAATGGTACTTCTCTCTTACGTCCTCAACTAGAAATATTCTTCATACTCAAAAAAATTACGAAGAGAAGTAATTGAAGGTTAGAAGGCATTGATAGCACAACTAGCTAACCTGAGAAGGAAATTGAGACTTGAAAGCCTTGGGTGCGATGTTATAGCCACCACGCTCTGCAGCTTTGTAGATCCCATACATCAACTTCAAATCAACATCGTAAAGGAAAAGCCTCATCCCTTTATAAATTTTTTCCACCGTCTCTTTCTTGCTTGCCGGCAACCCTAGAACCTTATAACGGTAACAATCCTTCTTTGTCTCGGAGTTGCACATGAAGATCATACCCATGCCCTTAGCCTTCTTCTTTGAGGACAACTTCTTGTGTGACGACTCGGGCTTGTCTTTGCCTTGAGGGGCCACTCTAGACTTACCTCCTGAGGCAACTTTCTTAGAGCTTTGCTCATCATCATTTGACTCCAATTTTCCCAAGTCCTTCCCAACCTTACCATTAGAGGCTACTTTCTTCATAACTTGCTTATTTTCACCTTTCTCTTGGGGGCTTCCATTTGCCTTTCTCTTCCTATTATTCCTTCTCTTCATTTTTTTAGCTTTTTGCTTCAAACTTCCTTTTATTTTCTCTTTATTCTTTTCATTTGCATTAGTTTCATCTTCTTGTTTTTGCATGTCATCTTCCTGGTTATCTTTGTCTACACCAGCAGCATCTCCTACTTGCTTATCATCTATGTTCTGTTCACCATCTTCCTGTTCTATGGTATTTTCTTGGTTATTACCTTCATCGTTACTAATAGCATCTTCTTCTTCTTCTTCTTCCTTATCAGAACCACATTTTTCATCTCCTTCTCCATAAACTTCATTTTCTTTATTATCTTCATCTTCTTCCATAGCATGTTCTCCCTCTAAAGTTTCAGTTTCAGCTCCATCATTTTCTTCTTCTTCCATAGCATGTTCTCCCTCTAAGGTTTCAGTTTCAGCTCCATCATTTTCTTCTTCTTCTTCTACAAGAGTGATCGTTGTTTCTTCAGTTACTGCTGTTTCCACTGAAATCTCAACCGAGCCTCCAGTTTCTATGTGGTTTTCCACCTCACTGGAGTCAAGTGTCGTAGTAGCTTCAGAAGCAACTGCAGCATCTGCTTTGGACACTGATCGATTAGTTGAAGCATTGGCCTTGCCTTTTGCACGCACCATCACGAACCTATGTATCTCCGAATCAAAGGGTGTTAAAAAATTGCAAATGAGAAGCAGCTAGTAACACCCATTTATATTAGTTGAACCTATTGAAGAATTACCAAATTCTTTATCCATAAGAAAATCAAATCAGACTCAAAAAAAAAATAAGGAATTTAAACTCTAAAGTACAGAAAATTTACCCAAAAAAACCTACCAAGCGATGAAGCAAAGCAGTTTAGTTGGACCCTGCCCCTGCCCCTGCCCCTGCCCCTGCCCCTAATATATACAAATGAGCAAACTGATAGTTACATCAACATCTACATGCCACTCCGATACTAGTTGGAGTCTGCCTAAAAGAATCATAAAAATGATAATAATGAAAAGAGCACTGCGAGATTGACTTAACAAAAGCTCAATTTATCCACAAATACATTTATAAAGTTGCTGAATTTTTACTTTTTTATAACTCGATTTATGATAAACAATAGTGAGATTCGTACAGCCCTAACTAGATTATAATTGACGCTTAATAGTTATTGTTGTTGATGATGAAAAAAAACTGCGAGATCCGAGAAACAAAGGCTCAATTTAGAAAAAAATGATGAATTTTTTTCTTTATGATGAATTATAGTGAGATTCATAAACACTAACTAGCGTCGAATTGAGGCTTAATAGCTGTTACTGTTGATGGGGGAAAAAGGTGAAAAGCGTGTAATTCATCAATCTCGTTCTCATCGAACTTATCCTTAAAAAATAATTAAATAGAAAAAACCCTAATATTAAAGATCAAAGACGTAAAATCGGAAAAAATTTGCGGGATATAGCTGAAACAGAAGGATATATCACTCACCTGTAGATTAACGTCGATTGACGGAGAAAACAAATATCCTCTCTCGGCTAGGGTTGAAGTGAAACCCCTTTACGTTTCTATATTTATGGTGTAAAAAGGACGAAATGTAGAGAGGACGGTGATGAATGTGATGATCGAATCTGAGCCGTTGGATTTGTGAGATAAAAATTTGAGAATTTTTTTTTTTTTTCGAAGCACTTGCAGGCTGCAGCTTTAAAGAACTAGTAGTATTTAGGTACGGGCTTTGCGCCTTAATCTTGATCAATAATTATAGATTTTTTAAAAATTACATTAAAATTATAAATTCGTATTTGAGTTAGAAAAAAATAAGAAAAAAAATTTAAGTCCTGAAAGTGATGATTTTTTATGTTATTAAACTACTCATCAAAGACAGAAATCTTACCTCATAAAAGTGCTCACAATGTTATCCAAATATTAACTATACGCTCGCATAAAAGACACACGTATCAATAGAATACCATGGTGTCACATTTTCCTTCATAACAAATGACCAAATATTTCTACGTGTAAGATTTACATAAGTAAACTCTTATATGTTTAAAGCTTTTGGATTTTTTTACATAGTTTAAACAAGAAAAAATATAATAATATAATTTTAAACTCCTAGACATAGATTTGTATAAAGTCGTAAATTCTTAATGTTTTCAAAGTTTTAAATAGTAGGAGTTTCTGCATAGTTCAAGTAAGACAATTTTAATACATAAAATTTTAATTAATTCAAACTCCTAAATATTAAAAAAAATAATTAAATGACTATTTAATGAAGTGTTTCTAACAGTAGTTTACCCATAGTTAAAGGGACTACAAATCTTTTATTTATTTATAAAGATTAAGTTTGGATGAGATAAATTACCGTGAGTTTTAAGTTCTATTTTTTCATTTTACATAAACATTAATTCATTGGTAGTAGTATTTTATCGGTAATATAGAATTAAAACTATAGTACGTAGAGTATCTCTTGTTAATGAAAGGATAGGGGAGAAAAAACGTGGTAAAAGTAAATTGTGTTATAAATAGAATTTTATTTATGGTGAATGTCTATATTTAGAGAGATTCTAGGGTTTATTACTTGGTAGCTAAGTCACCATCTCCCGATAAATAGAGGATTTTATTCCATTGTAATCATCCAATATCAATAAGAATTCTTTCTCTCTACTTTTCTCTGCAATACTCTTCTTCTTCTTTTATTGTTTCATAACACGTTATCAGCACGAGACTCTAACCAATTGAGTAGAAGTTTTGGGATGGAGCATAATGATTGTCAATTGTTCCATGAACTTCCTTCATGATTAAATTCTGGATTTAAGGTAAGTATTTTACTTTATTTTTCTCTTTTGAATTCTTGATATTCCATAATTTGATTTTAAATACAAGCAAAGACAATAAATTTTGATTGTAACTCTAATGGAGTTTGAAAGAAATTATAATCACCCAAAGTGGTAAAATTTCTATGCCCCGCCATGATCAAATTCATGTATGATTGTGGGCAAAGAATTGAAAACCCGTCCCATTGAATTTGCTCCATTCTCATTCCCTTAAGAGAATGTGATAGCAATATGTAATAAGTCTGAAAGAAGACAAAATTATTACCATAAAGGTATCAATGGATATGGACGTGGTAATAGACGAAATTATAATCATCATTATCGTGGTAATGAGAATAATAACGATTCTCAAAATAAGCCTTCACTCTATGAAGTTAATATTTGTCATCGATTTGACATGAGATTTTGTAAAGCACATATAGATGATTATGGTCCATTCATGATGTGAATGTGACAACATCTGATTTATGAATACATATTCATTCTTCAAAGAATATGAACGTGCTAGTGGTAGTGAATATACCGCACTCACCTCTAAAAGGAGGTTTGAGATGATATAAGACAATAATGTCATTATTATGGCATGAATGGTCATTGGTCACGTACCTATTGTACGCCAAAATATTTTGGCAATGTGATTATTAAAGGACAACAATAATGCAAGAAACATATCTTGCATATATTTTGACCATGACCATAATGGTATAACTTTCTCCTTAAAAGAGATATTCACCATATGGATGTTGATGAATATGTGGTAGTACAAAATTAATTGAGAGCTCCAGAAGAGCCAATTATACTATTTTGGAGAAAATTGATTATCAATAAGGTATTGTGTTGTAGTAAGTCTCAAAGAAACTTATTCAATTTCCAAAGTATACGCGAAAGCGGTTGATTATATTGAGACTATAAATAAAGGAAAGATTTAATATCTTCTATTACTACAACTTGTAGCTGGGTAATATGTATGTGAAAAGCTACACGCTTTATTCTCCAGTTTGTACTACACAAATAAAAGAATACCACAATAAAGTGGATGTTTATTGATATAAAAACTCATATCATAATAAACTTGGAGTTTATTGATAATTGCGCACATCATGGTGTAAATCTGAAGTTTATCAATATTGATAATTTATTCAGTTGGCATAATTAGTTTAGCCATATCAATTTAAGTATGATGTGCAAAAATAATAGAGAATTCACATGGGTAAATATTAAAGAACTAGAAAGTTCTTTACGAATTCTCTTATATTGCTTGTTCTCATTAATTAATAAATCAATTAAAATTAGGATTGAATCCCATGAATGCTGGAAATATCAAAGGTGAATATGGGCCCATTCACCTGCCATGCATACCACATAAGATGCATCTATGAGATGGTTACATGTGCGATTATTAATAACCCGCAACATGGTGTTTTGCGAGGTATCTTGCTCAATAATTTAATTTCGAGCATAATTTCCAGATTTTCTATTCAAGATAGTTTATCTTGATAAGTTGGTTTACATCATAGTTGGTTTAGCAAAATGATTTATTAAGTGCCTCTACTTAATAGCTAAACGATTGCTTATGAGAACAAAGTTATCTATATCAGTTTGATATACGTTATATACGAAAGTATATTATTTTCTCCCCTCACAAGTGGTTCAGGGTCAGGAACCAAATAATTCTATCTCATCATTATTGATGTGCGGTGTATATTTTGATTAACACCATAACGCACAAAGATGGGTTCTCAAAGTTGAGGTAACAAGTTAAATTTTCTAACATGAGGGGGAGACATGATTAACAGTTGAGAAAACGTTACATGGAATGAATTATCATTTGTACATCTAGATCCTCGAATAACATAATATGAACTTGAAGTTCATAAAAAGATAATTCATTTGCAATATATTGTAAAGCATGCCGGACGCATTTACTGACCTAAAGAAAGTAACTATATTCTCATTGCAAATGCTCCTATTAGAATAAGTCCTAGAAGGACAAAGTCTATAGTACGCGTAAAGCATATAGACAAATCGGTTTCAAATAAACTTCTTGATAAAGAAGATGAGCAAATGATCAAAATGATCATAATAAAGGAGGCAAGTGATCTAGAAGATCACATGACATAACACTTCATAAAATCTCATGAGAGATTCAGGTACCTGAAAATATGAATGAAGAGATCTCTATGTTATGTCTTTATGAAAAAATATTGAAACTGATATAAAATGTTTGTCGACGACATCTATGATAGCGCTAAATATATATATGAGGATCTTAAGTCTGAAGAAACAATTCGAATAGAATTGGTTCCATATGAAAGATATGTAGTTTTGAACATGTAGTTCAAACACTTGAAAGTATAAAGTCAATGGTATGGGCAATCAGTTTTCGATATCTTATATGTCTAGCATGACATGAAAACTTGATATGCATCTAAAGTCTATTATATGGCTTATATGACTTAACAATCCCTGAAGGATTTAAATTGCTTAAAACATATAGAATTCATGGTCATGAAGTACTACATCCTCAGTGCAATTTGTGCGCAAATGTATCTTGGTATAACTATATGCATGATAATATGATAGCAAGAGTTTTCACCTCTATGTGAAGATATTGAACTGACGATTCCAAAAAAATCATATGAAGACAATTCATCTCTATCAAGAATGATGATTTCAAGGTGGAATATATTCATTCAAGTTAATATGGTTGATTTGTTCATCAAATCTCTACCAAAGATCTTTTGAAGATGGTGCACAAGATTGGAATGCAAATGCTTAAGGATATGAATTGATGCTCTCATCAGGGGGAGTTAATACGCGTTGTACTCTTTTTCCCTTACAAGGTTTTGTCCCACTAGGTTTTCCTTACAAGGTTTTTAACGAGGCAACCAAAAGGCGTACTGTTAGATATGTGTACTCTTTTTCCTTCTCTAGAATTTTTTTTCCACTAGGTTTTATTTAGTTAAGGTTTTAACGAGGCACATTATCTGTTGAATAGACATTCAATGGGGAGTGTTATAAATAGAATTTTATTTATGGTGAATGTCTATATTTAGAGAGATTCTAAGGTTTATTA